AACGAGGCATTCCATCTTAGTCCTCAGGGGTGACAACGCATCTGCGTTTTGATTCTTAAGCAAGGATACATGTAGATGTCTATGGGCCACAGCATCTACTTACCATCAGGTGGACTGTGTGCTCGCCAGTCACCATTATTCTATAAAAAAAATCCAGGGACCCACTCAAACGCACACAAAGAATTTCGACAAAATCGTTCGATTCGTTTTCGAGTCTTAGCGCGACTAACGGACATCAATTGATTTTTATATATAGAGATTATTTAGATGTCAAAAAACTGACCACTCATTCAAGCTTTCATCCAAAAAAGTTGATCTAGTGGTCGTTAACGCGATTGTTGATCATGGGATCCCGGGTTCGAATCCCGGGTCGGCAAATATAAGTCATTGGGTCTTCTGTCAAGAAATTCTCAGTAGCAGCCCAGAGTGGTCGTTTCACCCCCGCGTTTTAGAAAGCATGTAAAGCCTTTGGTCCTGAGCCTGATCTTTCGTGTCGTTGTCGTCTTTTTTTATAGAAGAGGTGACAAACGAGCATGCGGCTCACCTGATGTTAAGTGACTACCGCCGCCCATGATCAACCGCAACACCAGGGGAATTGCAGGTGCGTTGCCGGCCCTTTAGAAAGGAGTAAGCTCTTTTCTTGAAGGTTCCCAGGTCGTATCGGTCCGGAAAAATCGCCGGTGGTAAACTATTCCACAGAGAGGTTGTACGCGGAAGAAAACTCGTTATGAAACGTACAGTGGTGGACCGCCAAGCATCCAGATGATGTGGATGATATCGGGACGTTTGCCGCGTAGCGTTCACGAAATTTGGTGGCTGGGATTAATCCGAACAATTCCTCAGAGCACTCTACATGGTATATGCGAAAGAAAATGCAAAGAGATGCAACATCTCTTCGCAGTGCCAGTGAATCGAACCGATCGGAAAGCACTCGGTCGTCGACGATTCGAGCCACTCTGCGCTGGATGCGGTCAAGTGGAAGGAGCTGGTACTGGGGAGCCTCAGCCCAGAGATGGGAACAGTATTCCATGTGCGGCCGAACCTGCGCCTTGTAAAGTTGCAGGCGGTGTGCCGGCACGAAATACTGTCCCGCTCTGCTGAGCACGCCAAGCTTTTTAGAGGCCAATTTGGCCTTCTCTTCCAAGTAACCACGAAACTGCACGTCACTCGATATGTCGACGCCGAGGATTCCAGAGGCAACAAGGGGAGTGCCTTGAAACTGAGAAGATACGACAAAGGGGTTTTTTAGCGTCTCCGGTCGTGTCGGATTACCGTCCCACAGGACTATGAGAGTGGGGGAATAGAGAGTAGGTATTTGAGCATGCGCATACACTTGGGCACTATAACTGTCCTGTGCGGAAAGCTAGTCTCCGTTAAGCCTGACGCTGTGACTAGAATTCGCTCTTGAGGACATTAACTAAGAAAAAATTATAAAGTGTCTAACAAGATGGTCAATCGAGACCTAAAAATAAACAAAACGAATAAAAAGTATTTTATTTTATTATTATAAAAGAAAATTTATTATTTTATAAGATTAATAATTTATTTAAAAAGCTCTGAAAGAAAACATTGTAATTTTCCACCCTAAAGCTTTTAATAATAATGCGTCTGTTAAATATATTTTTATCGCAAAAGAGTGATACAATGCCACATAGTTAAATCATCTCTCTTACTGTAGATATCCCTGGAAGTCATCCATATAATATATTATAGCAAATTGCGTGTAGCACTGTGTAGAGCTGCTTGTCATAATTAGAGTGATATTGCTCCAACACAACGTAATTGAGGTGAACCGTGAACCTAAATTAAATATAAAAGTATTCTAGTAACAACGTTTCAAATTAACAGTATTCCACTTGTAAAAGCCATTGATTTACATTAACAAGGATTTTACGTACTTATTTTATTATTTAAGACTGCATGAACGATGATTTGATATTAATAATAATAATAATAATAAGGCGTAGGGAAGTGACGACCCCATCGCCCGCTGACGTAACAGTTATGTGACAAAACTACTACGTCGGCGCAGTCAGTCAGCGCCCTGCCAAGAGGTGTGAGCGCCGTGCCTGGGCAAAATTGTGGGCGCAAAGGTCCATTTGTGCATATGACCGAACCACGATCACCTAGCAACCCTCCCCATCCATCTTCCCCCCAGAAGGCTTGGTGTCGGCTGGGTCTTCTCGGACTCAGCAAGCGGCACCCGCCGCTGGTGGAGCACGTCGCATGCGTTGGTCACAAACAATCAACGCAAACGCACTGCGGGCGTACTTTAGGGCAAAAAGGGGAAGAAACCGGATGTTTGGCATATCGGGCTCGGATGCATCGCTTTTTTGCAGAGCTGGAGCCATCTCTATCCGTCACTGAGCAAAACCTGGCAGACCGGGTTCGGTACATCCTGCGCTCCAACATATTTGGTGACGCCGAACTCGAACAACTACGACGTGAGGCTGTTCCCTCATCGGATGGAAATGCTACGGCTGGGAATGCGGCGCACTAATTGCGCAGCAAACTGCAAATGTGGACGCTGCCGTCAATATTCCATTTGTGGTTGATTCAGACGATGATGTAATAGTCCCCCGCGAACTAGAGAAAATGAGGAGCATATTGGAAGAGTCGATGCTGTAAACGCGCAGCATGCCTCTCGAAAATCGACCGCGACTTCCCCGCATACCCCTTAGCAAGCGAAATCGGGCTGTCGTGCGGGCTCTTAACCCAATGCTGGTGACCTATTTGGAAGCCAGCCGGGACCTTTGCGAGACGGACTCAATTCTTTTTGGCGCCGCACTGGCAGTATGCCGTATTATTGGCGCCAAACTTCCCATGGCTGGACGTGCTACTCAACAAGGTAGTGCCATCCCAGCCTGGAGAAAAATGATCGAGGACCGTATCGCAAAGGCAAGGGCCCTTATCGGCACACTGACAATCTTCAGGTCGGGTAATAATAGACCGAGAGTTGTGCGCACCGTTAGAATGGCGTTTGCTGGGACAAATATTAGTTTGTCCCAGCCGGATATCACACAGAAACTAACGGAGCGCATAGATGACCTGAAGCAAAAAATCGCTGCTTGGGGGAAGCGGATTCGACGATTTAGCGAGAGGTCAAGGCGGTTCAACCAGAATCGTCTCTTCCAGAGTGATCAGAAGAGGCTCTATAAATCATTGGAGCGACCAGAGGTATGTGGAGCGGGCCCAGGACCGGATCAGGCTGACACTGTCGCATTTTACCGTGGCCTGTGGTCAGAGCCCGTAAACCACAGCGAGGGCCCTTGGATGGAAGTTGTGGCGAGCCAGAGTGCAAGTGTTACGCCTATGGTTCCCGTCACCATAACGCCTGAAGACGTGGCTGAGGTGGTCCGTAGGGCCCCGAACTGGAAAAGTCCGGGGCTCAACGGGCTGCATTATTACTGGCTGAAGGGGTTAGTAGTGTGTCACGCTGTGCTCGCTCGACAGTATCAAGAGGCTCTCGATCAGAAGTCGCTCCCGAGCCTCTTCACTACTGGGATCATTCACTTGGTTCCTAAAGATCAGGCTACCACAGACCCGAGCAAATACCACCCCATCACGTGTCTACCCACTATATATAAGACACTGACATCCATTTTGAGCGCGAGAATCACTCGTTACCTGGAGCTAAATCAGGTGATGTCATGCGCTCAAAATGGATGTCGGGGCGGTGGTCGTGGAACCAAGGAACCACTCCTCATTGACGCGGTCATTGGCAAAGTGTTGAAACGCAAACGTGACCCACCTTTTCTATATGGATGACCTCAAGTTATTCACCTCCAGTCGCTCCCATCTTGTGGAACTGCTAAACATCACTTGTGAATTTAGCAGTTCTATTGGAATGGAGCTGAGGACGGATAAGTGTGCGGTCCTTCATGTTGAAAGAGGAAGAGTTGCTAACTCTGAGAGCATAGATTTATCTATGCCCGTCAACTTAAAGACCCTTTCCGAGGCTGAAACATACCGATACCTGGGTATGTCACAGAACATCGGTATCGATGAGGCTGGTATGAAACAGTCAGTTTGCGACGTGTTTTATGCACGCTTGACCAAAGTGCTTAACAGCCTTTTGTCCGGTGTGAATAAGACACACGTATAAACGGTTGGGTCATACCTGTCCTCATATATACCTTTGGCATACTCAGATGGATTCAGACCGAACTTAACGCCCTGGATAGAAAAGTCCGCACTACCATGACGTCCCATAGGATACATCATCCGAGATCGTCGGTATTGAGGCTGTACATGCCGCGAAAGCATGGTGGGCGTGGTTTTCTGAGCGCGCTTACCATGCATAATCGCGAAGTGTGCAACCTCCGTGATTAATTCCTGGCGAGATCGGATGATCCATTCTATAATGACGTCATTTCTAGTGATAAAGGACTTACCTCTCTATCCTTAGCCCTCGAGCAATGGCAGGACCCAACAGTGCTTAACATTTCCGACCGGGAGACCGTATGGTCTGTATGGCCCTGTAGGGAGGTACTACAGGGCTCTTCATGAGCCCTTCGTAGATACAGTCGCTCCCTCAACTGGCTACGTTTCGGTGACCTCTTCGGGGAAATCGAGGGTTTTGTCTGTGCAATACAGGATCAGGTTATTAAGAACAACAACTATCGGAGATACATCCTAAAGGATGACAACGTCGACGTCTGTCGAGCTTTTCGCCATCCCGGTGAGTCGCTTAGGCATGTCATCTCCGGTTGTTCGGCGCTTTCTAACTCTGAGTACTTGCACAGGCACAACCTAGTAGCCAGAATTCTATACCAGGAGCTCGCTCTGAAATACGGTCTCGTGGACCGGAAATTGCCGTATTACAAGTACTTGCCGGAAGCCGTGCTCGAAAATGATCGCGCCAGGCTCTATTGGGACCGGGCCATCATCACAGACAGGACTATTCTTGCGAATAAGCCTGATATTGTGCTGATGGACCGGGCACAGTCAAGGATATTTTTGGTCGATATTACCATCCCGTATGACGAGAACCTCGTGAAAGCCGAAACAGATAAGCAATCAAAATATCTGGACCCGGCTCACGAGGTGACCGACATGTGGGATGGTCTGCCGACCGAAATTATTCCTGTAGTCGTCTCTGCGAATGGGCTAATCCCAGTTAGCCTCTCTGGTCATCTGAGGCGACTGGGACTCCGTGACGCAACGCTCCGGGCTCAAATGCAGAAGGCGGTACTCCTTGATACTGCCCGCATCGTCCGCCGGTTTCTTTCCCTTTCCCCCTAACCCTCGGCCGTTTGGTCTCCCCTGCCGAGGGCTTCCATCTGGTTGGGCTTTTATTTATTTATGTATTTTTGTATTTATTTTATTTTATTGATATTTATGTATATATTTATCTTTTCATTTTCATTTATAATTATATATTTATAGATCCCAACCAGATGAGAAAACTATATAGATACCCCCCAATAATAATAATAACTCATTCTAATAATCACTCGTCACCTGGACTCAAATCAGGTGATGTCGCGCGCTTAAAATGGATGTCGGGGCGGTGGTCTTGGAACCAAGGAACCACTCCTTATTGACGCGGTCATTGGCAAAGTGGTGAAACGCAACCGTCGGAACTTCTCCGCCGCCTGGATAGACTACAGAAAGGCATTCGACTCGGTGCCCCATACATGGCTAAATAGTCCTCGAGCTGTACAAGATAGACTGTACAGTTAGAGACTTCCTCGAGCAGTGTATGGGGCAGTGGAGTACGATCCTTGTAGCAGCGGATGACGGCTGCGGAAAGCCGCATAAGGATAAGAAGGGGTATATTCCAGGGCGACTGTCTGAGTCCAATCTGGTTCTGCCTCTCTTTGAACCCTCTCAGTACTTTACTGGAGGGCTCCAGGAGGGGATTTCAGCTTCGGAAAGGAGGTACAAAAGTGACCCACCTTTTCTATATGGATGACCTCAAATTATTCGCCTCCAGTCGCTCCCATCTTATGGAATTGCTAAACATCACTTGTGAATTTAACAATTACATTAGAATGGAGCTGGGGACGGATAAATGTGTGGTCCTCCATGTTGAAATGGGAAGGGTTACTAACTCTGAGGGCATAGACTTATCTATGCCCGTCAACTTAAGAACCCTTTCCGAGGCTGAAACATACCGATTCCTGGGTATGTCACAGAACATCGGTATCGATGAGGCTGGTATGAAACAGTCAGTTTGCGACATGTTTTATGCACGCTTGACCAAAGTGCTTAAAAGCCTTTTGTCCGGTGTGAATAAGGCACACGCATATAACGGCTGGGTTATGCCTGTCCTCATGTATACCTTTGGCATACTCAGGTGGACTCAGACTGAACTTAATGCCCCGGATAGAAAAGTCCGCACCACCATGACGTTCCATAGGATGCATCATCCGATATCGTCGGTAATGAGGCTGTACATGCCGCGAAAGCATGGTGGGCGTGGCTTCCTGAGCGCGCTCACCATGCATAATCGCGAAGTGTGCAGCCTCCGTGATTACTTGCTGGCGAGATCGGATGATCCATTCTATAAGGGCATCATTTCTTGTGATAAAGGACTTACCCCTCTATCCTTAGCCAAAGAGCAATGGCAAGACCCGGCAGTGCAGAGCACTTCCGACCGGGAGACCATATGGAAGGAGAAGGAGCTCCACGGGAGGTTCTACAAGGCTCTACATGAGCCTTTCGTAGATGCAGTAGCCTCCTTCCACTGGCTACGCTTTGGTGACCTCTTCGGGGAAACCGAGGGTTTTGTCTGTGCAATACAAGATCAGGTTATTAAGACCAACAACTATCGGAGATACATCCTAAAGGATGGCACCGTCGACATCTGTCGAGCTTGTCGCCATCCCGGTGAGTCACTTAGGCATGTCATCTCCGGTTGTTCGGCGCTTTCTAACTCTGAGTACTTGCACAGACATAACCTAGTAGCCAGAATTCTTCACCAGGAGCTTGCTCTGAAATACGGTCTCGTGGATCGGCAATTGCCGTATTACAAGTACTTGCCGGAAGCCGTGCTCGAAAATGATCGCGCCAGGCTCTATTGGGACCGGGCCATCATCACAGACAGGACTATTCTTGCGAATAAGCCTGATATTGTGCTGATGGACCGGGCACAGTCAAGGATATTTTTGGTCGACATTACCATTCCGTATGACGAGAACCTCGTGAAAGCCGAAACAGATAAACAACAAAATATCTGGACCTGGCTCACGAGGTGACCGACATGTGGGGTGGTCTGCCGACCGAAATTATTCCTGTAGTGGTCTCTGTAAACGGGCTAATCCCAGTCAGCCTCTCGGGTCATCTGAGGCGGCTGGGACGACGTGGCGGACCGCTCCTGGCTCAAATGCAGAAGGCGCCCGCATCGTCCGCCAATTTCTTTCCCTTTCCCCCTAACCCTCGGCCATTTGGTCTCACCTGCCGAGGGCGTCCATCTGGTTGGGCTTTTATTTATTTATGTATTTTTATATTTATTTTATGTTATTGATATTTATGTATATTTATCTTTTCATTTTC